CAGGTGCCCATCATCAGATGAATGGATAAAGGGATTGTGGTGTATGTATACACAACAGAGTACTACTCAGCCATAAAGAACAAACTTGACTCACTTGTAGGAAAATGGATTAAGCTCGAGGCCATAATGCTAAGTGAAAGAAATCAAGCACAGAAGATTAAATATTAGGTAGTTTCTCTCTTATGAGAAACTCAAAGCATAAATAAGTTAAAGAGCAAAATAAAAGACAGATGATATAGAACAGGGAGGCAGACATTTTAAAGATGGGAAGTAAAAAGGACTAAGATTTCATATATATAATATCCATCCCAATTGCTTATGATGAGTATATTCTTTATGTACCTCAAACATATATTAATAAAAAGTCTATTAAAAAATTTCTGCAGGTATGGCAGCATACACTTGTAATCCCAGCACTCAGGAGGCTGAGGCAGGAGGATGACTATACCTTGATGCCAGCGTAGGCTGTAGAGTGAGTGTAAAGCCAACCTGAGCTACACAGTGCGACCCTGTTAAGCCCACTCTCCCTCAAGTGCAGTCACATTCCCCACGTCCCTCCTACTATCTACACTGGTGATTAGCTCTAGTTTTTGGGAGCATTTTACTATGAACAACCTGGCAGTGGTGGCTAGCTATTATTATCTACACTGGTGATTAGCTCTAGGTTTTGGGAGCATTTTACTGTGCACAACCTGGTAGTGGTGAGGAATCCATAGCACACTCAGAGAACACAGTGAAGTTAGTGCTGTGAACGGGCGGCACCTTGCTGTGCTCTGCACCCGGCTCCATAAAAGGGGATGCTTGGCCAGGGCTGCTGCTTCTTCCTCTCGCTTGTCAAGCCACATCACACGGGGCTGGTGCGCTCACACTCGCGCACCCTGGCTGCCGCAGCCCTTGGAGTGCCAACTCTGACATGCTGCTCACGGGGGGGGCCGGCCAAGGAGTGAAGGCCCCCTGAGCTGCTCAGAGACCAGCGGGGGACACACTGCACTCCAGGTGCCTCTGTATGGAGCAGCTAGTTAGCGGGCCCACGCCTCAGGGCCACTCTGGGGTGGGTGAACCTCAGAAATTTGAAAGGCTCCACTCACCCTCCCAGCCCTTCCTGCCACCTCGGCCAGAGCCTATGCCCAGATTCTGCTCCTGTCAACCTGCACCTGTCACTTCAGTAGACCGTGAAAGTAAATGTCCACTGGGTACCTCCTGAGAAAGGAAAGACTGGAGGGCTGCCAGTGAACCTTGATGGTCAACTTGATGGGTGAAGAGACTCCAAAAGGGGACTGGATCATGGGGGTCCTATACCCACCCATGGATTCATCCAGTTTAAGCTGAAGGAGGCAGAGCTGGAGAAGGCTAAGCTGAGGAAGGTGCTGTCAGCTGGAGGAGGGAGATCGCTGCAGGCATGTCTTTGGGGGCATCTCTCACGGGCGCTTGGCCCAAGGTCTGCTTCCCAGCAGCCAAGAACCGAGCAGATCTCCGCTACACTCGCTGCTGTGACGCGTCTACGGAGCCGGACAACTATGGACTGCAGCCTGTGAGACTGTGAGCCAAACCGAGCCTCACTTCCTTTAAGCTGCGCACGCTGGGCACTCCGTCCCACACCTGGGGAGGTGACAGGTACACAAAGACGCGCAGCCACGATGGGCTTGGCAGCAGCACCTCACAGACACGGGCAAATCATGGGCACACGTGAGCAGAGCTCAGGAGAGTCAGGCGGGGTGGTAGGGAAAAGCAGTCTTAATTTGCGACATTAGGGAAAGCACAGGAAGAAAGCAACCATGTCCCGGTACGAGAAGACATCTCGTCTATGCACCAGACTGCTAGCAAATGGCAAAGGCTCAGTCTCACCTCAGCCCTTTCAAGGGTCCGGCTGAAAGGTCCCAGCTTGGGTCCTAGACTGGTTGCCGTGGGCTAACTGGTTGTGATCACTGCTGAAAAGCTCAGAACATAAGAGAGGTAAGTAAGAGCCAGGAGGGTGGAGGCAGAACGGAATCCTTTGGGACACTGTGGAAGAATCTTCCACAGTCACTTGTTTTCTAAAGATTAGCTGATTTGAAATTAGGAAGCTTAGCCAACCCCAGCCTGTCCCTCCTAGCAATCTTAAATTTTCCCCTTAGAAATCCAAAAAGGATTGCATCAAAGCTCTGCTATGTGAGATGCATTCTTCGGTGCCGAGCCCTACAGACCCACGCGGAGCAGCAGTACCGCCCCATCTTGATGCCGTTCCCTCATTCCAGGGCTATGATCCCACCTGATGCAGCCCATTAAGCATGGCCTTCCCAGACAGGAGCCCCCAAACAGGGCAGAGGGGTCTCCAGGTGCTCGGACAGCTATAGGCATCTCTGCCAGGGAGGGGCAGGCAGGCGAGATGCCTGGGAAAGTCTGATGGGGGATGCTGTTGGTCAATGGGCCCTGTGCATGGAGGACCCTTTTAGACAGAGGGGTTGGCTTTTCCTCTCTCCTCCACTGCCCCTTCCCCACGCCCCCCATCCTTCTTTCTTTCCCTGGATGGAATAGGGACCTGCCTCCATGGCCTTTGTGTTGAGCTACTTCTCCAGCTACTTCCATTTTCTTTGAGACAGGGTCTCACCATGTCATTGAATTCCTCAGGCTGAGCTCCAACTCACGATCCTCCTGCCTCAACCACCCAGAGTACTGGGATGACAGGCGTGCGCCACCGCCCGCTTCTTCTTTAGAGGCATCTCGAATTCCATAAATCACGCATCCCACATGCGGCCTTCTCCTTCCCCCTCTCACAGCGTTGAAGACTAACCCCAGCTAATGAGTTGTCAAACTAGATCACGCCTGCCTGCATCTGTTCCAAGGCTGCTGATTAGACAACTCCGGGGAAAAGACACCATTATCCTGTTCAGTGCGCGCCTCCAGCGATTATCTTAGTGCAGCCTGACTTCCCTGGGATAAAGAGCACAGAAGGGAACGAGCTGTCGGCTCCCAAGCGCGCTGCACCCTCGTGGCCATGTCACTGAAAGGCACCTTGCAGTCTCAAGACTCAGAGGAAGGGCCGCTGCCCTGGAGTCGTCCTGCAGGAGGGAAAGACCGAGCTCTACATCTGGGGAAACGACCCAAACCGCCAGCCACGGAGACCCCCTCACTGCACTTCAACAACAGGCTACGCTCCTCTGCACAAACCACAGTGCTGGCCCCGCAGACACCAGCAGGACGCAGAGCCCAGACGTGCCCCAGGGGACTTCAGCCAGAGACACAGGAGCAGAGCAGGTAACGTTTACAACAGAAGCACATGCGTGTCCACACAGCACGCGCAAACGTGAGGCCAGCCAGGAAAACGCTAAAAAGACAAGAAGGAAGATTAGCCCAGCAGATACTGGAACACGGCACATACAAAGTACGCCAACCCCAAGCTGGTACCGTGTGTGGGTAAACAGACCCGTGAAGGAAAATAAGAGGATCAACAGGCCCAAATATCTACGTAAATGTGCTATGTTTCTACATGTACAGGAAAAAGGCGACTTTAGTAAGTGGCACAAGCATGACATATTAGATATAAAGAGGTAAGATCCTGCACTGATCAGAGTGAGTGACAAAGATGTCCCAACAGGTCAGCTAACAATCCCGAGGAGGGCCTGGGGAAGCAGGCACTGTCGTGTACTGTCTGTGAGACACCAGATGTGTACACCTTCTGAGGAGGAGACTGGGCGGTGCACAACCCGCGCCAGCCACTTGTCTCGCATGTGTTTACGCTGTACACAGAGAAGCAGAGCGGTGCACTTCCAAACTGCGGGTTGGGAGCCCTCAGCGGGTCTGTGAAATGAACGCAGTGGGTTTCGACCGGACGCAGGACGGCACAGAGAACACACTGGTGTGCATTTTTTAGAGGAGAAACAGATCTATGCCAGGTAAAATTTATCAGGGAATTCACCGGGAAGAAACTGGGGACAGTGGCTGCCACTGGGCAGGAGAACCGAGTTAGGAGCAGAATCGTTCATCATTGCAATTCATTTTGCCCTATTGGTTTTTTAAGACCACAAGTATACATTCCTTTAGTCAGCCGGACCACCATGCCACCGCCTACCTGCACTGCCCTTCAGTGCAGTCCCAGAGCAGTGGAGTGGACAGCAGGGTCCCACCCTGGGCACCCCGTCACTCCCTTTGCGGCGTTGGGCAAGCCTCCCTTCCTCCCCTTCTTAATGCAGACATGCAAATGACACCACTACCTGTGCAGAGGACCGGGAGAGGGGTAAAGACGGTGGCCAGAGGCTCACTTGTGAGCACAGGGACTCAGGAAGCACTAGCTCCTCTCGTTCCTCTGTGGACTTTTAAGGGCTATTTCCAGAGACCACAGAATCCTATATGCTGACTCCTTTACAAAACAATTTGGGTTTGGAAATATCAGGGTCATGTGATCCCACTTTGGTTTAAAAACTGCATGCTTACACAGGCATACACACACACCTGAAAGTGTGATTTCATCCACAGGAAGAAGGCCATGGGCTGGCCTTATGCAGGAGGTGCTTTAATGTGCTCATCTGCCTTAACTTTTCTCATTGAGGATGAAGTACTATCACTATAAAAGATGTTTCAAAAAGGAAGAGTTGTTTTGTTGTTTTTTTGAGACAGGGTCTCGCTATATAGTTTAGACCATCTCTGAACTCCCTTTGTAGCACAGGCTTGAACTTGTGATCCCCCTGTCTCAGCCTCCTGAGTGCTGGAATTATAGGCATGGGCCACGGCCCACAACAGGAAGAGTCTTAATTTAAGAAGTAGTTGAAATCCAATAGACAGCCCCACTATGTTAAGACACTACCCAACTCCAGCAGAACATCAGTGGACTATGGAGTCTCATGTATATCAAAGGCTCTTTGCAAGGCTAATGAACCGATGCCTGTGGTTTCTTTCAGTGATTACTGAAACACCTTGGTAGAGCTTTGCTGAACAACCTATTAACCCAGGCAGGAGCTCTGGGTTCTCTGGGCCAAGGACTGACCACCATCCCTGCCCTCCCCAGCCGGGGCCCCGGTGCGCACCTTGCCATCGGAGGCGGTGTTGATCCGGTAGTGGTACACCCTCCCCTCATAGCGCAGGGAGATGGAGCGCTGGCCAGGGCTGCTCTCGCTCTCTCGCACCAGGAAGCTGCCGTTGATCCCACTGCTCAGCAGGTACTCGGCGGCATTGCGGGACACCGGCCCGTGATACCAGGAATGCTTCTCCAGGCTGTTGACAGGCGTGATGTAGTTGCTTGGGACCCATCCTTGGCCATTCTTGGTTTGGGCTTCACACCATTCCCCATTGTGATTGTAGCCCAGGACCCGGAGCTTTTCACCTTGGAGGCAAAGAACCAAATCAGACATTCGCACCTCAGAGACCAGCGTCCTTCCTTCTCATCTGCTGTGTGATCACTACAACACTCCAGGATTCTACACACAGGTTCCATTCTAGCAAGTCCACATAAATACACACATTTATAAGCCTGTAAGAATGTGTACTTATACACACAAAGCTTCCTGTTTGTACTGAATGTACAGATTAAGTGTGCAGCCTTTTTTATAAACCTATCATTTTTCTTCAAGTGTTCTGCTTCTACTTAAGGAAAACTTTTGGGAGAAAATGATTTTTCTAAGGGGAAAAAGTCATGTTTTCAGTGCTTGGTCTGGAAGTCCTCTTTGGTATCAAATCAGGGGAGCTGGAACGCAAACCTCTGTAGCACAGCCTTCCTTAGGAGAAGGGGCGCCTTTGGAAAGAGGCTGCCGTTTCTTGGACCTCTCCACATTTGAAATTGGAAAGCTGCGCTGCAAGTGGTGGCGCACACCTGTAACCCCAGCACTTGGGAGGCTGGGGCAGGACGATCGTTGCGAGTTTAAAGACAGCCTGGGCTCCACAGTGAGTTCAAGGCCAGCCTGAACTCAAGCAAGACCCTGTCTCAACCCCCCACGCCCAAAGAAACTGGGAAGCCACTCTCTCGATGTGCAAAGGGAAGGCCGGTCAAGGTACAGCTCCCTCCCTGCTGTCTGCATCTCGCCCTACCAGCCGCCTAGAGCCCCTCACCTTTAGTGATGCTGAGAGTGTTGTCACCACTGGCCACGAAGTCATACAGCGCAACGAACAGGTTGGGGTCATTTTCACTGGGCCCAGCGAGGAGGTTTTCCTTGGAGTTCCAACGAGCAGCTTCGCTCAGACCTTGGGGCTCGAAGTCAGATGCTACTGGCCTCTGCAGGGCTTCTGGGAGACGAGGAGGGGAGAAGAGAAATATAACAGGAAGAAGAAGAACCAAGGACACGTGAGCTTTATTTTCAGGAACAAAAAAGTCTGTTCCCAACATGACGCATTCCAAATTTATTTCATTTCTTAACATCTGTATCTACTACAAGTTTTTTACAAAGACTCTTTCCCAGAGCTTATGAAAAATACTAAGTTTCTTCATCCCGATGTGGTAATTACTGTTCCCAAATAGTTCAGCTTTTAAAGCTCATTAATTCAACACAAACTGAGTTAGAGCTGGTCGGAGTCCACTTCATGTGACCCTGCCATTGCTTAAACTATGGAGTGTGAGTGTCTTGCTTTAAATGTTTTGAAGTGGATCTAAGTTAATATAGTCACATACTTTAAAACATCAAGTAGTGTAGAAGGGCTTAAAAGGAAAGGCATCTCCCCGGCCTGAGCTGCCAGCTGCTCCAGTGATGGCTTCTGCCTCCAGATGCCAGCACCACTGTCTGCTGCCATCTGCTGCTGGGCTGCTTCTACTTACACCTCTGCGGGTCCCCAGCTGGGCACAGGGCCTCCCTGCCACGCCCATGGCAGAGGGGGCGGCGACGCTCCTGTCTTCTGGCCAGCTCTCACCACTCTCACAGCCAGTTTGCCTCCTCTTTCTACCTTGTGAAAAATCATTACCAGTTTTTTCTATCCTAATAATGAAATCCTTCATATTTTGTCTATAAGTAGATTCTAAAAGTTAGAATTCAGTCACCAGCTCTTCTACCGGGACTGTATGAGAATTTTTTGTGACAGGGTCAAATAGTCGATTATTTTTCCCTGAAGTGCCTTCTGTCTTTTTTTTTCCCCTGGAGCTATCCTCAAAGCCTCTAGTATTTCTTCGTGATAATGACAAGACCCAGCAGTGAATCTACTCCAAGCAGACCTTACAGTGGTTATGCAGTGAAACCAAATACCATCTAAGGATTTTGTAACACGAAAATTTTTTTTTTGAGGGGGAATTCTGATTTAAAAAAAACGGAAAGATCTACAAATGAACCAATACAAATGGTAACAGAACTACATTTGTTCTAATTCTCCCTCTGTGTGGACAGAGAGGACCCACAGACATCTCTGCACCCATGACCTGTCTTAGGGGCGGATCTGACTCTGAATCTGCTTCGCAGAGACACTGGAGACTCCTAAGACCCCTGCAAGGCCAGGTGTCGGAAGCAAGGCTAGACAACCTCAGAGATGGCCATCTCTCTGAGAGTGCTCTGTGGAAGAAACCAAGAGAACATAAACAATGCAGGTCTTTCAATGCTAGCCTTTGTTCTGCTAATGGAAGTAAATGTTCAGGAATAATTTTCTTAGAGGCGTAAATCCTAAATTATGCTATGACCACACTTGGTAATTGCATTTTATGAACTGTGAAGGCAGAGGTGATTTCAAAGAAGAGAGTTGTCACACTGCCACCCGCTGGGATGGGGAGAAGTTTGGTGAGGTGTCCAGCCTGTCCTCTGAGGAGCTGTCCTGGTTCTCAGAACCTTCCAGCACCACCAGTGACAACTGGAGACTGACCAGTTGACCCAGAAGAGCTGGGTAAAGCAGGGGATTTGTTGGTTCTTTTTTTTGGCTTTTTAAAACTAGTGAGCTAAAAAAAAAAAACAAACTAGTAAGTTGATTTACACTAGTAAGTTATTTTTTAACTGATACCCAAAAACCTACAAATCATACGGATTAGCGGGATGCCATGTAACATTCAGAGTGGGGCATTTTTTGTTAACATGTTTGACCCTCACACTGCCCGCTGCATGGTGGTCTGCAGTCTGACTGCAGACCTGGGACTGTCCTGTGCAGTGTGGGTGTGGCTGACCTGCACACAGTTTTTCTGAGTCCCAGCCAGAACTATCCCCTTGCTGCCAGTTCCGTCGCCTGCAGGGAGACACAGAAGGCAAGGCCACACGCTGCAGACTCCCTACAGAATCTTCTAGATCCCTACAAGCCACTCCAGTGGCATTTATAGCTCTCCTATACCTAATTCAGCAGTGATGCCGCGACCTTTATGCAAGGGGGATGCGGCCTTCGCTGGGAAGGCCTGCCTTTACCCACCTTAACTTCTTTCTTTTCCTTTTTTTTTTTTTTTTTGTTTGCAGCACTGGGGACTGAACCCAGGGCTTTTGCACAGAGCTATATCCCCCACTTGAACTTGTGATCTTCCTGTCTCAGCCTCCTAGAGTGATAAGATTCTAGGTGTGCACCACTGCACCTGGCTACAAAAGATTCTTAACTTAAAAAGACTCTTTCATACCAACATAAAGTCCTCTTTTACCGACAAAAGCTATAAGTAAGCAATGCACAGATCTACATTTGATCTACACCGCCAGAACTTTATCCTGAGAGAGCTACACAACGATTTATATACACTGACTTTAAATAAAAGCACAGACAATACAAAGTACTAATTATCAATATAAGATAAATTAATTCATGCCCCATCAACAAAATAGAATATATCCAAAAAGACATTCAAAATACTTTTGGGCCACGTGTGCTGATGCACACTTGTAATCCCAGTACTTGGGAGGCTGAGGCAGGAAGATTGCTGTAGGGGGCCAGCCTGGGCTACATAGTGAGTGGAGTCCAGGCCAGCGTGAACTGACACCCTGTCTCAAACAAAACAAAACATTTTTGGATGGGGTTGGGTGTATAGCTCAGTAGCAGTGTCCAGTAAGTGTGAGGGCTTGGGTTCGATTCCCAGCACCACAGAAAAATAAATTTTAAAAAATACAATATTTTGGGGGGAATGTTTAATGGCTTATTATACTCATAATAATATATTATATCCCAGTATATAGAGCATGATTCCACTTTTGCAAAAATTAAAAAAAAGGAAAGAACTACATCAAAATGTGAAACAGTACTTAATTCAGATTGGTAGGATTACAAGTGTTTCCAATTTTCTTTCCATTTTTTCTATACTACGGGTTATTTCTTACAAGGGATATAAATTATTTTTATAATCAGAACACAATTACAAAGCTAGGAAAATGAGCAGAAGCCAGCTGACCCTTACATAACTGGCAACTGAGCATGAGGCAGTACTGGGGGAGGGTGGAGCCCCGCGCGCTGTCCTGAAAAAGTATTTGTGCCTGTTTCCCTCCTGCGTCTCAACCTCGGGGCCAGGAGCACACAGGAAATTAAACCCAAGTCATGAATACAGAGCTGCTTTTCTTCTCCAATGCCATTTGACCTCCTCTATCGAACATCCCACAGCATCTGGAGTTGATCAAAGTTACATAATCGGGGAAGTGGCCTGGAAAACACCTGGGGTAAGCAGAACGCAGATGCCCGCCAACGGGGACTGCGCTGGAGTCCTGGCTGAAGAGGGACTGTCCCCAACAGGCAGGCAGATGCTGCGATCTTCGATCTTCGTGCAAGGGGGATGAGGCCTTCGCCGGGAAGGAAAGGCCTCACGCTGCTTTTTGACTCAGCAGGACGCTGCGCCGGCCAAGGCAGCCTCCCGCTTCCCTCCCCAGCTCTCGCTGTGCTCCACACACGAAGGGCCAAAGCCCAAAGGGAAGGATTGCTCATGCATGCCTCTGGATCGAGATGCTGAAGCGGAGCCACAGCCCGACACCAAAGCCTTCCAGTCAATTCCCAATCCGGGCTGATGTCAAAATTGACTCACGATGTATAAATTCCAAGTGACTTGCTTCATTTCATAGTGAACTGTGCTCGTCAACCTTAAAAATGATCACATCTTACAAGGCCAAAGTTGCAGAATGTACTCAAATCCTTCTTGCTCAAGACCTGGACTTTCTGCTGGTCCCTCTGTCAGGAAGTCAGAATCCAAAAGAAGTCCAAAGGCTTCATTCAAAAAAGATGCTCAGAACCGCTCCCTTCTCCAAGGATCTTCTGGCTATTGTTCAGTCTTGGGAAATACATTTTAGCAGTTGCTCTTATTCTTACTTGTTTTTAGTGAAACTTCTTCGGCTACATCCTTTCTCAGTCATATTTTAAATGTATTTAAGATTTGGATCTCTAAAAGGGCCTTCTCACCCCATTTAAAATCATTGCTATTTTGCCATGATGTTAACTGAAAGGTTTCTTTCTACTACCAAAAAAATTCAAGAAATGTCACCATTAGTCAGTTGAGTGTCAAGAATTGGTGACATCTGAAAAATGCCCCCAACCTTCAAAAACCCGAGGCTCCAACTACAAAAGTATTAAATTGTTTGAAAACCTGATAAGAACCAGGCCATAAAATTCACCGGATCTGGGCATTATTAACTTGTTTGGACAGTATTCGAGGAAAATAGTTTGGGTCTTTAAAGTACAATTTAAAGATCACTATATAAAAATATCCATTCTCAAAGTTTTGAGTCACTGATGAAAAATGTTTACAGGCGATTCTCCGCTCTGGCGGGTCTGGCCTGGACGGCCGGGAGGCAAGCAGTGCGCTCGGGGACTCCTGTGGACCAGGACTCTGCCGACCCAGGGGGAGGGCGGCTTCACCTCCAGGAAAAACATCCCCGGGAAGCTTCTGGCCTTCCTGTTGGCACTGGTGTCCAAGGTCACGGCTCCCTGTCCAGTGTGTGCAGCCAGTGGTGTGGCTTTCGGGACGCTTCCCCCCATGTCTTCCCTCTGGCTCTGTTGGGGAGGGGTGGGAGCAGGGACGTGTCCCCTAAACAGACGTTCCCTCCACTCGTGCACGTGAGCCCGGATTTCAACCCTGTCACTTTCTTCTTGTTTCCTTGGTAGCTCTTCTGCTATTACCCTCCAGTTCGAGGAATTTCTGTAATGTAAAAATCTATAAAACAGACTCTTCCAAGAGGAGGGATGAGGGCTTCGTGTTTTATTTCATTGCCTGTTCCAACTGATGAGATCATGCTCAGACTATGCTAAAGTCAGTGTGTAACAGTCTCACACAAGCTTTATAATATGAGCTTAGAGGAGAAGTATTATTTCCCACAATCTGAACTTGCTGAAAGTAATTTTATCTGCATTCTACACGGCCCTTCATTTTG